TGTTTATTGAGTAACTTTGATATTGCAGACACCACTTCTAGTGGTGAAACAGATTATTGTAGGGATACAGTAAGTTGGCACGACCTGTCATAGATTATGAACAAACACGCCTTTTTTAGTTTCTGCCTTGAACTAATTTTCTTTTTTGCTATCTGAAACAGAAAATGAAACTCAAATCATTTTAAAAATTTCGTTCATCCCTTTTTGACACTAAGAACGAGAAACACTTTATATTTTAATTTTAATTTCAGTATTTTAAAACAAAAATCAAATATCCACTCATTTCTTGTTTTTTAATACCCGTTTCAAAAATAAAAATCCAATGACCAAGAGATTTATTAAAATAATTTCTCTTTTGTTTATCAAATTCGTCCTTGTTCACAGACTATCTGTTACCTGCTAAAGAGAGACCACAGACGAGTGCAGCACTGGCTCGGAAGCTGGTGATTGGTGCACTTGGTGTGAAGAGCAGCTTGACGAAGGAGCAGCGTGAAGCAGAGAGGAAAAAACTGCAAGAGGCAAAAGGTGCATTAACAGATTTATGTTTAGGGTTGTGTTTGGAGTCTCTTTTCCTGCTGGGCTTCACTGAAAGTGAAACACACTCAGTTTGTGCAGCTTGGCCTTTTCATCACAAGTGGGAGCTGTTTGCGTGTTTTTCCAGAGGAGAAGGGAAAGTTGCTAAATGATGCCAAGAGAAGCCTATCCATTGCTGTGCACGCYACAGCAGGTCTGTAATCAGAGCAACACATTTCCCTTTATGGAGGGAACATAAATATATAGACTCAGAAAACCACAACTGCTGTCCTCTGAACAGTCAGTCCTGGAAGTAGGGGCCTTGACTAAAACAAAACAAAACAAAACAAAAAAAGCTTCTTTGTTCCTTTTTCTTTTTGTCCTGTCTGACAGTATGAAACTCTGAATTAATTTCTGAGTGCCATGAGGCCCAACAGTTTTACTTTCACAAGTTCAGCATAATGACTTTCACCATGATGCTCCACTTGATATATATTTAAACTTCATTACAGATTATTTTTGGATATAACGGACACAAAGACAGAAAAAAAGGAGAAAGGTGAAGAAAGAGCTTAAAAGGAAAAGGAAATAATAGTAGAGAAGAGAAAGACGCTCAAACAACACAAGATAACACATTTGTAGTCTGCCTCTGCACCTGCAAAAAGAGAGAAAACAAAACAAAACAAAAACCACAGCACCAAATAACGTGTATATAACAATAATAATAGCCTCACTGAAAAGTACATGGTATAATCTTATAAAAAAACTAGAAGCACTCGGAGAGCGCAAACCTCCACCAAGGCCAATTTCCCCTATCCTGCAATTGTAAAGAATCTTTCAAAAAAAATTCCTGGATCCGGATCATGATCTGGATCATCACCAAAATTTAATGATATCTTCCTTTGGTCAGTACCCACCTGTGGTTAAAATTACAATAAAATCTGTCCAAAAGTTGAGTAATTTTGTCCACGGACACAGACGTGACTGAAAACATAACCTCCTTGGTGGAGGTAAAATATATATATGCGTGTGTGTGTGTTGTGTTGTGTTGAAGCCATACACACAAACACACACTATATCCTCAGGTCCAGGTAACACCCCCACCCCCCAAGCCCATACCCGGACCCAGGAGGTAATCCCCTTCATTCCACGGTGGAGGGGAGCAGACAGCCAAACCTCTGCAGCAGCAGAGCTGCTCATCATGGCTCGTTCACACCGAGAGCGTTTTGAGCTGCCAAAACGCGCAAAACGCCTCAAGTTGGACGCACTGCTTGGACGTACTGTATGTTCACACCGGAACGAGAAGCGGCAGCTGCGGCGGCGTCGGGGTGTGGGAGGAGCGTCTTGATTCTTTTTCCGGTCTGGTTTGTTGTTGTGTGGTAAAATGGCGGATGAAATGGCGCGCCAGTTCTCGAGTTTCTGCTACTCATAAATAATACGTCACACAGGGTTGAACATCCGTCCCCTCGCCAYCACGTCACAGCAGATTTGATTGGTTGTCGAGACGCGGCGAGCGTCGACGTTCAGATAAAGTTCAGATTTTTGAACTCGAGCGGCGGCAGCTGCCGCGAGCACCGCATGCTCGGAAAACGCTCTGCCGCCCCTTCCGCGCCGCTCATAACGCGCGTGACGCGCCGCACAACCCCTTGAGGCGCGTTCGCCATAGACTTTGCATGTAAACTGGCAGCTCCTGCTGCTCAAAACGCTCTCGGTGTGAACGAGCCATCAGTCTGGATGAGGGCCGGGCGTCCCACTAACGACCCAGGCCCAGACACCAACCCCAACCCCATCCAGAGACGTGGCCAGAGAAGCCCACATGATCCAAACCAGCCAGCCCCAAGACCAAACAGTCCCAGCTCCCCAGCCAGCCCCAACATCCACTCCATGGACCTTTCACACCCCATAAGTCCCGACATGAATTCTCCATAGGGCCACCCCCAACCAGCAGACAGATATGGAGCACTCGCCCACAAACACAGACACAATAGTCTTGTTTCCAATTTTAATTCGAATTTTGATTTTTAAAATTTTGCAAAAAAGAAAAAACTAAGAAATGAGAATCAAACATGTTTCCATCAACTGGCTTGAAGGGAATCAGTTAAGTCAGAAGCATGCGAGTACTAAACAGGAAGTAAAAGTCACAAACTAAGTTTTTTTTTCCAAATCATGCCGTTTCAATCTGCCTTTTCTGATGCGATACTTCAAAATGCGCATTTAAAAATGTTGATGGAACACGGCTAATGAATCTCCCATCCACAGGGTGGCACCCCCACAGGAGCCCCCCCCCCCCAACATGAGGATGCCCTGCTCAGTATAAGCTCCACACACAGCTCCCTCTCCAAACACTCCCTACAATACGCCCCCCACCACCACAAAGTGCGCCGCAACACACAACACAACCCAAACCTCCGTATGCAACCACAGCACTCCCCCGACCCGACACCGGGACAGGACCAACCCCCGACCGCCCCCACCATGTCCCTGCAAACATACAAACAAACCCACATCGCTGCCATCAGCCCAGGGACAGCCACCACCAACCAACCAACCAAAGACTTCAGCGGCTCCACATCCGAGAGAATGCAACCCCCCATCCCCCCACACCGCGTACACCACAGCYCCCAGAGGCATCTCCCAGTCAGCTGGGCTGACATTCTCCCAGCACACGAGGCAAAAGCCCTTCATGGAGGCAACATAAATATACAGAGTCAGAAAACCACAGCTGCTGCCCTCTGAACAGTCGGTTCTGGAAGTAGGGGCCTTGACTAAAACAAAACAAAAAAAGCTTCTTTGTTCCTAAATGCATGCAGTGTCTCCTTTAAAGATCACTGCATGTACAATAAAAAGAGTTGCATCATTTTCTAAACATTGTTTTCTGGGAAGAGATGCCATAAATAAAAATTGGGTTTTTGGTGCACCTCCCTTTTTGTGGTAAAGGCGGATGTATATTTAGATGGACGAGTCACCTTCTGTATTTTTTTCTCTTTCTATAGATGCTTTTTGTTCTCGGCGTGTTGAACGGCCTGTTTGTGATTTATCTTTCAGAACAAAAGCGACTGGCAGCCAAACAAAGAGAAGATGCTTGGGAGGGAAAATAAACGGACACATTTTTTTAAAAAGTGAACTCAATGTGGCAGAGCTACAAGACGTTTTGTGTGTTTTTTTTCCCTACAATTTTATTTTCTCAAAACAAAACAGCYGTTTTATTTTTGCTTAAATGGATCCCCTCCATTGTTCATTTAACAGTTTTTGTTATTGATCATCACATTTTCTCAGTTATCAGTCCCCACCTCACTGTCAAAGCTCTTATCAGGATGTTGACAACTTTGTAGTCATGATTCTTTATTGAAGCACTGAGGTTTGTTTTTTTCTGTAATTGTTATTTTTTACACTGATCCAAAGCATTATGTTTGGGTTTATTTGCATTTATTTTTAATTTATCCAAACTGAACCATTATTAAATATATTTATGTTACCTGTCTGATGATATTATTATCATCTAAATCTGTTTGAGTGGTCAAGCTAAAAGTTGTCACTTTAAATGATCACTTAAAGTTTTGTGGTATTTTCCTGTGTTATCGAACGTTTCTTGACTTAAACCAACTTCAAACTGATTGTTACCATCAAACCTTGAATCAACACTCGTGCAGTTTTTTGTTGTTATTCTTCTGTATGAAAACTGGTCTAATCTGTTAAAGTTTATAATTCTACGTATGAGATTTAGTCATACATTCTGAGAAACAAAAACCAGTTAACATGTAAATATTGTACCCTCAGATGCAGTAGACCAGCTTTCCATTTAAACTCTTATCAGATGAAAGCTTTAAATGTTAAATTGCTTTCCCCCCCCCCTTTTTTTTTTTTTACCAACACAGCTAAAAGCACTATGTAGCTTCATTTATTAAGAGGATTATGAGAAGAAAATAATTGGTGTTAAAGAAGCAGCACTGTCTTGTTTTTGTTGTAAACCTAAATGTTTTATTTCTGTACATTTTAGTTTAGGACCTTGAACTGTTTCAGTAATTTAGGTTGATAACTTAATGGCTGAAATAAAAGAAAAATATCAGCTTTCTCTCCTGGCTGAGAAAATTAATCAGGGATTTCCACTTTTTTTAAATATAAGAAAATCTGACTTAATTTCTGTATTGTTTCAGTCAAAACATCGCTACAAAGAAGCAGTGTTTAACGACTTTCTCAGATTAGGTCCTCCAGTTTAAGCTCAGTTTTCCTAATTAAGGCACCTCCTGCTCACATCTCAGCTGCAGCAGCCTCCTCTCCTGTGGCTTCACCCAGCCAACCACAGGTCATGTGGCATTGTGGTTCACACACCTCCGCAGCCAAAAGTCCCCCCTTGTGTTTGACCAGCAATCATGCACCAAGCTGCAAATGTGTTATATGTTCTTACTTTTTTGTATAAAACTACACTTTGAGCCTAACTTAGGTTTCCTCCTGTTCAGTGAAAGTCTAAATGAAAAGACCCCACTGATTGTTTTGGATGCTAAAGCCTAAAAAGACTAACTGATTGACTTGATTAAAGATTATCAGTCAGTATCTTCAGTGCTGGCTCTAGCCATTTTGGTGCCCTAGGCAAGTTGAAGCCCCCGCCCCCCTCCCTCCTCCGAACTATGTCCCACCCACCCCATTTTGAACCCCTAAAACAAGTTTGACAGTGTAAGGTACTATGGTAAACTTAGATTTATTTGCCACCCCCTCTCCTCTGCCCCTGGGTGCGAAATGTATGGATTTTTTTTGCAAAATTTACAGATTTTTTTGTCTTTTTATACAGATAAACGTCCAAAGAGGTTGACATG